TGTATGTGCGCGCCCTACCCTCGGTTCGCGCGCCCAGCGCTTTTTGCCGTACCTGCCCGCTGCGGCACTGCATGCCCGAGCCGGTGCGGAGCGCACCCCCGTGCACGCCCCTTCCGCACCCGCCGCGTCACGCACTCAGCAAGCCCTTCGCCGCGTCCGCGCGCCCTTCGCGAGCAGCGCTCGATTCCTTTCCGCATGCACCACACGCTTCTCCGCCCACGGACCGCGCTCTCCACCGTCTTCCGCGAATCCCGCGCGGTCTCGCAGCGATGACGAGATACATCCGCCCAGCACTTACGGGCTTCCTCAAGTATGTATATTGCCTGGTGCAACGCAGTCCGGGGCGTCCTGCATGGGGGCTGAAGCAGAACGTGGGGGTGCAGGTGGCGGTCATGCCTGCGTGCCTTCTCTGCGCTCCCTCCGCCGTGTCGTGCACCACCCACCGCGGGCCCGCGAATCCCCCTCTGCCTCACTCATGGGAGACGTGGTTCCGGCTTAGTCTGTAATTGCCCTCCAGGCCTAGTCTACATGTTCACAAATATGTATTCGCGATACAGAATCGCCCGTTCTGAATGTATCCCTTCATTTGTGTATGTTTTTTGCGAGAGATACGGCAGACCCGCATCATTTTTGTGGCTGTTCCGAGATGCTCCGAGGCGCTTAACTCCGAGTTCCACCATTACCGCTGTTCCTGAGACAAGCAGCTACATGGTTGACTCATCCCTGTGCGTACTGCGATCTACAGTCTACTTTCCATTTGTTCATAATGCACCTTTCGAATTTCAGTCGGTGCTTCAAAAAGCGGCTCTATGGCACCTGCCAATTCCCAAAAGGGTAACATATTAGGCAGGACATGTAGTCACATGTCCTAACTAGTTAGGCCCATCCCCTGCCATTTGTGCACCTTGGGGACCCCGCGGCTTTTAGGGGGGATGTCCCAGGGAAAAAAAATTGAAAAATAGAGTCCCTCAGGGTGGATCTGGCAGCCTTCCCATGTACTGTACAGTCACATGTTGTGCAATCATTTTTTTGTCCCTGTCCCCTCAATACCATGGCCACCTCCATCCCTGAGGGACACCGCAAGTCCCTTGTCCCCATTAACATCGACCACGGGACATTGTCAACATGTGCACACATAAGATCAGTCCATCAGCAAGTCCCCTGCAGCACTGTGTGTCCCTATCCCTACTTCCCATACTGAGGGGACATGTTGAGAAGGGACAAATGTCCCCACTGCACTTCAGCCACCTCCATCAAACAGGGACACATTGAATGTGCCCTTAGTCACATGTTGAGCAATCATTTGTTTTTCCCTGTCCCCTCAATACCATGGCCACCTCCATCCCTAAGTCCCCTGTCCCCACTGCCATCAACCGTGGGACATGAACAGCACGTGCACACATAGGATCAGTCCCCTGCAGCACCATGTGTCCCTGTCCCTACTTCCATACTGAGGGGACATGTTGAGAAGGGACAAATGTCCCCACTGCACCTTGGGCACCTCCATCAAACTGGTTGATCAAGACATAGTATAATGTTCCCAATCTAATCACTATCCCTGTCCCCAACTTTGCAATTTGCAAAAAAGTGTCCCTTCCTACCTCGGCCAGTTCCATCAAACCAGTTGATTTAGCAAAATGCCGCTGTTCCCAGCTGGCCCACTGCTAGGGTATATTCACACAATTAATCACCACTGTCGCAGTCAATGGTGCACATTTCATAGAGGTATTCCCTTGTACCATGGCCACCTGTGTCCCAATATATCCCAATTTGATATTCATTGGCCCACAAACAAGAACAGTGGTCCTCGTCTGGCCTGCAGTACCAAGTGATCTGATTCCTGCACATTGCCAATGTCATCGTCAACTTCCTCCGGATCTGCCACAGGGATCACCCAGTCACTGTTGATGTGGGTTCTTTCAAGTTGGGCCAAAAGGCCTAGTGCTAGTGCTGCTTGCTTCAATGCAATTCATGCATACCTCATCAAAGGAAGAAGGAAATCACCTCAATTAGTTATGGATTCCCTCATGAGCAAAACACTGTGATTCGAGACCATACTTTGAAGCCCAAGTTATGTGGCATCTTGTAAATTCTTCTTGTGCTTTGTGTTGTGATGTCACATAGCAGGAAATAAACCACAACTCCTCACAGAAAGTTACATAAACTGTTGTGCCCATGTTATCCACTTCTAGTTGGTCTGATATTGTATTTCAAAGCGAAGACATATTGGCTGTGTAGTGATCATTGGTGTGGCCAAGAATGACTATATGTGCTTGCAGCAGGCAGCACCAAACCACAATAATACTTCAAGTCCCTATGTCCCCAAAGGGGACATACCTCCATCACCATGTCCCCAAAAAGGGACATACCGCCATCACCATGTCCCCAAGAGGGGGACATACCGCCATAACCTGTCCCCTTATCGCCAACTCATTTCAAGGCCATCGCTAACTCAGCACGAAATATTGACATCAAAACACTTCAAACTGAATATATGAGGAGTGGGTGAAAAGTCTGATGAGGTACAATTTGTGCTTATAGTTCCATCATGTCTTAGAATTAAATTCGGATTTGTTGTGTTTTTTACTAAGCTCATTTCACAAAGTTCAAGAAATGACCAGAATGTCACTTAGTTCTATAATTACAACTTGTGTTCGTGCCTTCCTGGTGTCATATTGCATCCAAATGGGCTCAAATCTTTCGTAAAATAGAACATACATGCTACATAAAGTAATCCCCAGTGTCAGAAAGGATGAAGAGACTGTGGTTGTCCTGTATGGATGGCAACTGTAATTTTTGGTCATTTCCTGCACTTGACCTGGTGGCTCAAAGCATGACGAGATACAATACTGATATTATTCTTTGAGACTCCTATATGTCCCCATTTGATTTTGGACCTTGTGTGACAGGTCTAGATGAAGCAATATCACTCCTATGGGATCTATTGGATTTGAAGTACCCAGCAGGCATAAGCTCTCAGCCAGTAAGTCTTTTGCCAAGCAAACCTTCTTAATACTCATTAGAAATTAGTTGCCAGTTCAGATTGGTTTCAATTCAATGCTCAATCTATCTATTCCATTCACAACATTAAGATGAGAATATTTATTCAAGTCAAATGGCTCACCCAGCATGACAGAGGAAATTCAGGGATGATTATAGCCACTATGAACTGAGAAATATGCCTCTGTTAAGCATCCTATGGTATCTACCTGAACTGGTGTGCATTCCAATGTTTCACTCTTGAATAAGATACTACCTCACTTCAATAAGGCCAGTCACCCACACCAGATTGTTCAAAATGGAGCTGCTGGGTTCCAGTATTGCAATATCCAGTGAGATACTCATTTACTTCGACCCAGTCAGAAACACTTGAAAGGAAGGAGCAGGTAGAAATTTGTAATGTTGTGCAGGGAATGGCCCTATTTGGATCATGTAAACTCTGAAACTGATAGCTGGATCAATTGGGCACCATAATCTATTTTTTACAATCCACAGATATGTGTTCTGGATGCTGCTTGAGATATTTGATGAGCTATCATTAAGATTTCCTTTTTCGGTCCATATAATTGATGGAAGTATTGTGCCTGATTTGGAAGACCTGGATGTTTCTCTTTCTTCCAGTCCACAAATGGAAAGATATACCTCAGATATGACTCTTCAGTTGCTGTCATTATACCCTTTGACCTTATTCTTACAGAGGATGTGTTAGTACACACATGTCATTTGCTGTACCTGTCCCCATGTTATGGGGACACATTCAATGTGTCCCTGTTTAATGAAGGTGGCCGAAGTGCAGTGGGGACATTTGTCCCTTCTCAACATGTCCCCTCAGTATGGGATGTAGGGACAGGGACCCACGGTGCTGCAGGGGACTGATCTTATGTGTGCATCTGCTAACCATGTCCCACGGTTGATGGCAGTGGGGACAGGGGACTCAGGGACGGAGGTGGCCATGGTATTGGGGGGACAGGGACAAACAAATGATTGCTCAACATGTGACTAAGGGCACATTCAATGTGTCCCTGTTTGATGGAGGTGGCTGAAGTGCAGTGGGGACATTTGTCCCTTCTCAACATGTCCCCTCAGTATGGGAAGTAGGGACAGGGACACACGGTGCTGCAGGGGACTTGCTGATGGACTGATCTTATGTGTGCACGTGTTGACAATGTCCCGCAGTTGATGTTAATGGGGACAGGGGACTTGCGGTGTCCCTCAGGGATGGAGGTGGCCATGGTATTGAGGGGACAGGGACAAAAAAATGATTGCACAACATGTGACTGTACAGTATGTGGGAAGGCTGCCAGATCCACCCTGAGGGACTCTATTTTTCAAATTTTTTTCCCCGGGACGTCCCCCCTAAAAGCCGTGGGGGTCCCCAAGGTGCACAAATGGCAGGGGATGGGCCTAACTAGTTAGGACATGTGACTACATGTCCTACCTAATATGTTACCCTTTTGGGAATTGGCAGGTGCTCTATGGGTCGTAATCCGTCGAGATCCAAGATCACTTTTTTGTCATTGAAGGATGTGGCTTTTTTTCTTCATTAAAGGACATGGACATTGCGCATCTCGCTGGATGCCATGCATACCTCCAAATCCTGATTCGGCGCATTCCGCGACTCGAGTCGCGGAACAAGCCTGGAGACTCGTACTCGTTTTTGACCGATATCTGTGATTTATCCACGCTCACTTTTGTTGTCTTACAGCCCCAGTGGCGGATGATCCGCGTCTACGCCACGTGTTGGGACAGCAAACGATGTCATGTAAAAGCTGCTCGTTTGACCCGAGCCTGGGCGGTTGTTGAACGCCTTCAGTTATTCTCTCTTTCTTTCTTTCTTTGCTTCTAGTCTGATTTTATTTGGCTAAAGTGAAGGGCGTGAAAGGTCCACGTATGTGAATTCCTACAAATTCGAATGAGAAGGGCATCTGCTAGTGTTTTGTGGGTGTTTCGTACGGCCTAAGCAATTCGGTGTTTATCCAAGTTCATCTTATTGTTTACCAGGCCCAGTGGCGGATGGTCCGCGTCTGCGTAAATTAGGGCATACTCGAGTGTGTTCATGCAGATACCGCTCGTTCGACTCGAGCCTGGGCCAAAACTCTGCCTCTCCAGATTTTTTTTCTTTTACGGTGAGCACTGCCAAAATCCCGCTTTATGCAAATCGATTAGGAACCGGGCATGTTGATGTCGCGCAGAATCCGCTCGTTCCACTCGAGCCTGGGACATAAACTCTGTCTCTCCAGACTTTTTTTCTTTTGCGGTGAGGCCCAAAAATTCCTGATTTATCCGAGTTCATTTTATTATCCAAAAGGCGAAGTGACGGACAGTATCCGCACCTGCATGCAATCACCGGTTTCAGGAATGGACGCAGAAATTGCTCGTTCGAATCGAGCTCGGGCCATATGGGCGAATCAGGGATTTTCTTCCCTACCCTGCTGGTGAGCGCCAATATTCCTGCTTCATCCCGGTTCATTTTATTGCTTTTATAGATCCCGTGGCCGATGGACCGCGTCTGCATGCAATGCATTGCCCAAAGAACTTGTGCAGAACCTGCTCGTTCGACTCGAGCCTGGTCCGTCTTTTTTTTATTTTTACGCTGAGCACTAAAAATCCGGGGTCTATTCGAGTTCACCTTCTTGCTTTTATAGGCCCAGTAGCGGATGGTCCGCATCTGCACTACATCCACAGAGAACGCTCGCTCGACTGGAGCCTGGGCCGTGGTGTGTTTTCCGCAATTGTCTTACCCTCGCCAGTGATCACTAAAATCCATGCTTATTCACGTTCAAAGTTTATTTCTTTTATAGGCCCAGCAGCGGATGGTCCGCATCTGCACTACGTAGGATTATATTGGTGGAATAATGCAGAAGTCACTCGTTCGAATCGACCCTGGGCCGTGAGTGAATTGAGTTTTTCTTTGATATTTCACCATGTTTCTGTACGGTGAGCACGAAAATCCTGCTGTATTCGAGTTCAAATGGTCGGTTTACAAGCCCAGTGCGGATGGTCCGCATCTGCGGAAAGTTGGTGCAGAACCTGCTCGTTCGATTCGAGCCTGGACCGTGGCGGTATGGCGTGAAATCTCTCTTTTTCCTTGCTGGTGAGCTCTAAATCCAGGATCTATTCATGTTCACCTTATTTATTTTACAGGCCCAGTGGCGGATGGTCCGCGTCTGCACTACATCCACAGTTGCCTTTGAAATATGCAGAACCTGCTCGTTCAACTCGAGCCACTCGAGTGTAGATCTTTTTTCCCTCAGATGAGCACGAAATTTCGCGCATTATTCCTGTTCACGTTTGTGTTTTTATAGGACCAGTGGCGGATGGTCCGCACCTGCATGCAATCCCAGGTTTCGAGAATCTTCTGCAGAAGGCCCTGGTTCGACTCGAGCCTGGGCATTACTACCCGTCTCGCTGCCTTTTTTTTACGGCGAGGTTTATAATCCGTGCTTTATCCTAGCTCATTTTATTATTCAACAGGCGTCACCACTATCACCTTTTTTCTCGGCGCCGTGAAACATGGTTTAACCCAGTTTATTTTGTTTTTGTTTTTGCAGGGCCGATGGTGGACAATCCGTATCTGCACTACGTGCCCAGTTGTCTTGGAAATAATGCAGAAAATGCTCATTTGACCCGCGCCTGAGTCATGCGGGATCCGCGTCCGTGTTTTTGTCCGGTGAACACTAAAATCCTGTTCTATTCAAGTTCGCCTGATTGCTCTACAGGCTCATTGGCGGATGGTTCGCGTCTGCACTAAATTTTATGGGACAATATCTTGCAGAATCAGCTTGTTCGACTCGAGCCTGGGATGCCAGTGACATTTTTTTAAAAGATGGTGAGGCCTGAAAATCCTGCTCTATTCACGTTCATTTTATTTCTTTATAGGCCCAGTGACGGATAGTCCGCATCTGCGTGCAATTCCACGTTTTCAAAACCTTGTGCGGAAACCGCTTGTTCGAATCGAGCCTTGGCCATTATCTCTCCATTTTCCGTCTTTTTCTTTTTACATTGAGGTCTAAAAGTCCGGGATCTATCCAACTTCACTTTAGTTCTTGTGGGGGTCAGTGGCCGACGGTCCGCGTCTGCATGAAATTCTAGGCTCAGTCGACTCCAGCCTTCTTTCCCGACTTTTTCTGACGGTCGTCGGTGAGCGCTGCTAATTTTTTTGCTTTATCCCAGCTCAATGTATTATTTAAGGGGCCCAGTGGCGGACGGTCCGCATCTGCTCACTGTCACTGTGCCTCTATTTGCACAAGGTAGAAGAGGCTCATTTGACTCGAGCCCAGGTCATGGATCAGGTGCACAATTTTTTTTTTGCTGTTGATCAGGGGGGGGGGGGTTATTACACTCGCGTGGTCCACAACATGAACTCTCTATGGTCGCTAAAATTCCTGCTTTATTAAAGGACCTTCTATTTTTCTAGAGGCCCAGTGGCTGATGGTCCGCGGCTTCAAAGATTAATTTCTGATGTATGTACTGTGTCAAGCAGAAATCACTTGTTCGACTTAAGGTTGGGCCGTGCTCGATCAACCACGTCTTCAGTGAGTCCAAAATTTCGCTGCTTTATTGCCATTTATTTTCCTAGAGGCCCAGTGGCGGATGGTCCGCAGCTGTAAAGAATCGAATCTCCGGGGCCATATGATACTCATCACTGCTGAGTGCTTTTTTTTATTACTTTGCGGTCGGTATGTAATTGCCAAAAATCCTGTTTTATTCCAGTTCACTCTGCCAATTCTACAGGTCGGATTGTACATTGGAGTCATAACGAAACGCCGAGCATGCGGTATACTTTCTATTTTCTCAAGATCGGTTTCTTAACCTTTTGCCTAATTAGCGCCGTTGAAGCTAAGTGTATGACGAGGCCTAAGAAATTCGGATTTTATAGAAGCCCATTTTTATCGGCTTACAGGCCCAGTGGCGAATGATCCGCGTCTGCGAAGATTAGCTGTAAGCAATGGTTGCTTCGGAGCAGAAGACGCTCGTTCGACTCGAGCCTGGGCCATTCGGACTTATAAATTGCATTTTTTTACTACAAAATAAGCCTTCGACTCGTGTTTTGCTCAAGTTCATTTTATTGCTTTTATAGGCCAGTAGTATCTGCACTATATGTGGAAGCAGAAGGAGTGGAAGAGGCGGACGGGGATGAGGGCGCGGTGTCGTCGTCGTCGTCGTGTGGTGTTGTTGTCGGGGCATTGGCGCGTCGGCGGGAGAGCCCGGAAGAGGCCATGGCGGAAAACGAGACAAGAAAGCTGCTGCGTGTGGCGGTGCTTGGGTGGAGCCGGGAGGCGGTGCGGCCAAAGCGAGCATTATGAATTACAAAGAGGGAGGTGTAATATTAATTCAAAGGGCGTAGGGGGATTAAATTTGGGTCAGATTTCCGCAGGAATTGGGGGGGAAAATGTTGGCTTGCGGCATCGCATACATGCACCGGCGGGGAATCGAACCCCGCTCTGCCTGAAACGTGCCAACGATCACCACATTTAACGGCAGCGTGCGCCATGCACCACCGGTGCTTATACCCATCCCTTTTGACCCTGATCAACACAGCTCTCATTCACATTGCGATTAGTCGGGTGGTGGCCAATGCCATTTTATAGTCGGTTGATTTCTTCGCCGAGTTGAATCCCTCGAGGCCTCACGTCACGGTCCCAATAATCTGTCGATACAATTTACTAGGTCCCCGTATTAAACAAAAATATGCTGAGGAAGCACAAAAACAGGTGGAAAAAAACAAACGTCCCGGACGCATATACACCGGCGGGGAATCGAACCCCAGTCTGCCTGACATGCTAAAAGCACTTTCACTTTAGGGCAGCGTGCACCATGCACCACCGGTGCTTATACTCATCCTTCCTGACCTTGATTTATACAGCTTTAATTCACACCTCGACCATTGTGTGATTCGCACGATGGTCAAATTAAACCCAGGTGGAAGCATTACCTGAGCAGTACCCGACTCCGATTTTTTCAACATGAGGTGGTCGCATACAGTTTTTTCAGCAATCGTGAAATGGAGAAGGAAAAAAAACCCCGGCTGCGGAAAATATTAATGCGCCGGCGGGGAGTCGAACCCCGGGTCTGCGTGAATTCATCTTACAACACGCGTACGTGCACATTGAAAGGCAGCGTGCACCCTGCACCACCGGTGCTTATATCCATCCTTCTTGACCCCGATTTATACAGCTCTAACTCACCCAATGTCCAATGTCAGTACACCAGGTCAAGTTCTTAAAGTCGAATCAACATCGGTCTAGCAATGCCCTATTTCTTCAACCACATCAGTTTTCCCCTAATCTGTCGATACAATATCTGGGTTCTCGAGGCAAGACAAAAATATGCAGCAGGGTATAAAGAAAGGGCGAACATTGCTGGTCATGCACCGGCGGGGACTCGAACCCCGGTCTGCCTGAAATTGAACATCCAACAGTTATTTAATGGCAGCATGCACCATGCACCATTGGTGCTTATATCCATCCTTCATGACCCTCATTTATACTGCTCTAAGTCGCACCGTGGACCATTGTATTATTCGGGTGGTGGCCAATGCCATTTTACAGTCGGTTGTTTTCTTTCCCGACACATTCCCAATAATCTGTCAATATAATATCCAAGGTCTTCTCCGCAATAAATAAAGATGTGCTGCAGGGTATGAAAAAAGCAAGGATTCTGGACATGACACGCAACGCGAAAAGAAAGAAAAAACGACATCAGCACAATATACGCACCAGTGGGGAATCGAACCCCGGTCTGCCTGATATTCCTTCGCGTTCAAAGTTCAAGGCAGGATGCACCACGCACCACCGGTGCTTATATCCATCCATCCTGACCCTAATTTAGAGCTGTAATTACTCAATGGCCAACAGTACCATACTCACAGTAGGGTCGAAGTACGAGTAATCCCGGGGCTGCGCAGTACCCGATTTTTCAACATCAAATACCTTTACGAGATTTTGCTTTTTTATTTTTATTTTCAAGTATTGGCTGACCGGAGAAAACGACACTTCAGGATTGCGCCAGGACGTGTAGAGGAAAAAAAGAGTCTGACTCAGAAGTAACATGCACCGGTGCGGAATCGAACCCCAATCTGCCTGACTTGCGTGATGCAACTGAATTTGGAGGCAGTGTGCACCATGCACCACCGTTGCTTATTCCCATTTTTCTTGACTCTGATTATACAACTCTAAAAGCCAATACCATCACAGTACGGGTGCACAGGCCCGATTTTTCAACATCAACATCAATATTGCCTCAACGACTTTTTGCTCTTTGATCTTCCGGTAATACGGCTTACCTGGGGGACAACACCCGAGCGGTTGCAGGATTGCTACAGGAGGTCCGAGAGAAAAATGTTCGCCAGATGTTTATGCACCAGCGGGAAGTCGAACCCCGCTCGCCTGAAACGTGCCAACGATCACCCACATTCAATGGCAGCGTGCACCATGCACCACCGGTGCTTATATCTGTCCTTCTCGACTCTCTCTTTTATACAGCTCTAAATCATACAATGGCCAACAGTAGGGTCGAAGTACGAGTGATCTTGGGCCTGCACAGGACCCGATTTTTCAACATCGAGATTTTGCTTTTTTATATTTATTTTCAAGTGTTGGTTGACCGGAGAAAACGACACTTAAGGATTGCGCCAGAACATGTGGAAAAGGCTAGAGCACAAAAAGACGCTGGATCAAGTCGCATCCATGCACAGGTGGGGAGTCGAACCCCGGTCTGCCTGACATCTTTTGCGCGGTTCAAATTTTAGGGCAACATGCACCAAAATGCACCGGTGCCAACAGCTGTAAAAAAAAAGTGACAGACGAGACCCGAATGCACCGGTGGGGAGTCGAACCCCGATCTGCCTGAAGCAAACAATGGTCCTTTATTTAATGGCAGCGTGCATCATGCACCACCGGTGCTTATTCCCCTACTTCCTAACTCCGATTTATACAGCTCTAATTCATACTATGGCTCATTGTGTGATTCGCACGATGGTCAATACCGTTTACAGTCCTTTGATTTCTTCAAGTTAAATCCCTCCCAGACACTTTCCCAATAATCTGTCGATATAATATCCTAGACTAGATCTCTAGGACGAGATAAATAATGTGTTGAGGCGGTGAATACAATCAGGGGAAAACTTTGACTACAGGGCCATATGCACCGGTAGGGAATCGAACCCCGGTCTGCCTGAAAACAAACATCCGACGGTTATTCAATGGCAGTGTGCACCATGCACCACCGGTGCTTATATCCATCCTTGACCCTGATTTAGAGCTGTTACTTAATCTCTTCAAGTCGATTCAACACCCGGACCTATTTAATAAGGATATTTATCCATACAATATCTAGGCCTCTGTAGCAAATAAAAATGTGTTGATGAGATAAACACAGATACAAAAAAAAAAGTCAGCGCACAGAGACACATGCACCGTTGGGGAATAGAACCGGTCTGCCTGAATTGCGCGATGCGTGGATGGAATTTGGAGGCAGCGCGCACTATGCATCAACGGTACTCATCCCCCTCCTTTTGTGCTGCTGCATCTAGCTCCAAATCCACATGCAAACAGATTACAACTATCCCGTTCCGTTCAAAAATGTCCAGAATTGAGGTGACTGGGGACGACGACCAAAGTTAGTCTCCCATAGCCAGACTCCACAGAGTTTATGAAAGTCGATAAACTTCAATATAGACCAAAGTGTGAAAACGGTTGGAACAAAAGGACTGAGCTGTACATACCTACTACAGGAAGTCAGGGAAAATGGGTGCTAGGAGCCAACTTTGAACTTCCGTGTGAAGATGCTGGACAAGCCGACCCGGATCAGGCACATGTGGGTGTTGTGTGGGCGCCCCAAATCGCCGCAGACATCCTTGACCCCCCCACCCTCACGATCTGCGCGATTATGGAACTCGCTGAGAGAATCTGTGGGTTCAAGCTCAGAGTTGCGGCCAGGCGGTATTCTCACGCACTTCAGACTTCATTATGAGTTGCAAAACGGCTGTCTGCGTGGATCTCAGGGCTGGTGAGACGGGCTTCCGATTTGTTTGCGAGCTCACTTCGTATTTCCGTCAGGCTGCAGTGACGATGGTTATTCTTGCCGAAATACCCCTCCTGTTGCTCACTATTGGCCACAGGCACCCCGATCCAGATGTGGCAGCAATCGTCCTTCTCTGACAGTAGATGCAATTCCTTCCCTCTCAATCAACTATGGCTGGTACGCAATACGACGGCGGGACATTTTAGCCTACAGAATCTCCACGGAGGCACGTACCTCGACTTGTGGGACGGTAAGTCTTGTGCCTATCTTCGCACCTGGTGGCCTCACATCCCCAGGCAATGCCTCAAATGGCACCAAGATTGTAGGACATCGTCCGGGGGGTCTTAACGGCACGCCAGCGGCGAATCAACAATGGGAGATCCTCGCGGCTGGGGGTTACTATTGGTCTGACCCAATCTTTGTTCTATGTTGCCACTTCGATTGATCTTCGTCTAGGAAGGTGCGAAATGCTGCAGCACAAAGTAGGAATCCTCGAGCTCCTTACCTCTTTTACTTTACTGAATCCTCACTATTTTCAGCCTATATGAACCTCAGCGGCGGGTATGTCTGCTCCTAAATGTGTTACTCAAAAAAGCTAAATAATGGTGTTCGTCGTAGCTTCGTACGCAATGGAAATCTGATTCACGGATGGGAACACGTGGCAGAGGACGAGAATGCGCTCTGGCGATTTGAACGGCTCAGTGTTTCTGCAGCTGATATAGGGCTTGCGCTGCATGACAATGTCCATAAAATTGATGGACTCCAGCCATTCGAGGAACATGACATGTACTTTGAACGTGGTTTTTTTTACTTTGAATTAGTACTGAGTTTTCGTTCACGCCATTTCTGTAGCTATTTCGTACTTCGCAGCGATTTGCTCCGGGACATCTGGCGGTCGACCCATCTTGCGACCATGCGCTGGAGACCCGGTATCTTCGACCATGATGCCTTTGCACTCGGTATCACACTCTTCAGATGGTGATGTATATTGCCTGACTCCTGCTCCCGTTCAGCGTATAAATCTGCAGTGTCGAAGTGGTGTTTTGATAACATCAAGGCCGTTGGTGGATCTAACTTGCGGAATATTGTTGACCCACTTACATGCGCCGATTCTAGGACGTTGCCGTGCTTTTCGGTGTGGCTGTAGAACAACAAACGGGGTTTGCGTACAATTGGACTCTAAGCACGGATCTCTCCAATATTATCTTCATCGAGTAAGGCACAGGTGTTCTTATTCTGACAATTTGCAATGACCTTCATCTTCTAGTCCCGCAAACGGGCGCACCATCGGGCGTGATTTGTTCAAATCAGTGCCAGCATTCATGGCCGTAGCTAGCGCTGAGGACAAGTCGGAAGAAGAAACCCATTTTACTGGATTTTTCTAAAATATGCATCAACCACCAGCAAATGCAGTTCAAAAGCCGCCGCTGAAAAGGGAGAAGGAAAGTTACCTGCACGCATGTAGGAGGTATTGAGCTGGATATCGCGGAAATTATGTTCTCAAAAATATCACAATTGGCCAATCGGACTCGGTGGATATATGTTGAAAAAAATCCGAGACTCGTAGTTCACTTGATTCGCTTTAATTTCCGTGCGAGTTCACCGGGGGACGACACAACGGAGGCAGCAGGAGAAAATAAACAGAAGGAAAACCCCGATCGAACCCCGATCTGAGAAATTGAGACGAACTCCAATTATTTAATGGCGGTGCACCACACCACCGGTGCTCTTCTTAACCCCCGTTCACCCACCTCATCAACGCTGTCAACTTGGGGTGGGCTGCATGTCTTCATTCCACTCAGAGACAACGTCCGAAAATGATGATATAAAAAGGGGAATATCCTCAAGACCAATAATGCATCGGCGGGGAATCGAACCCCCACTCCCCTTGAATCGCACGAGAAAGGTATGTATTGCTGGGGACGTGCTCCATGCACCACTGGTACTTATTTCTTTCCTTTTTAAACCCTTATTTGTACTTTTCTAACCCTCATTTATAATTAGGAAGCCAGCAAATGGATCGGCGGTGGCGGTGTCCGGAAAATGCCGCGGGATGTTGAAACAGGCGGCATACCCGAACCACCATTTTTATAGGCGCCGGAAGTGAAGTTGGAATCCACAATACGAGCGGCAGAAGATATCATGGGCTCACACGGTCGTCCAATATTTTAGGGGAGATTCTGCACGTCGGGTGATTGTTGAACAGTGCATGTAGCGGAAATATTTTTTCCACCGAACTTCTCCCGAGTTTGGCAGGAAGCGCACCAATATTTTATTGCATGGATTTGATTGACCTTTCCCGCCGATCCGCAAGGATCGCAACTTGAATTCGCCGACGGCGTTTACAATTGATGGGCCCCATATATCATGCACGATCACTTGCATCGGACCTAATACACTGGTCGTCCTTGCTTAAAAACCTACCATGACTGCCTGAATTGAATCAGTACTGCGCGCCGAAATGCCCCGGCTTGCCATTGAGGCCGCAGTAGAGAAAATGTTACCCATATTGAAGGACACTCGTTTCGATGAGAAGGCGGGAACATTCCTCGCCGTTGTGTATGGGTTCTCATTTTCTGTCACCAGGACGGGAAATTTTGGGATGATATATTCTCAGAGATAGAGAGTCTCGACATCGACGTCAATACCGCGTGGCCGTGGCCCCGCTATGTGTGTACGACTGGATTCTTTTTTCGTCCTAACTAATGTCGGTACAACTCAGTGAACTGTCACTCGCGATCCGGTTTCTGAATGGACAGAAGACGATATGTTCAACATCCGACAGCGTGCCACAGCCCCCCTCAAAAGATAGTGGTATTGGGAAATTGCCGCACAAGGAGCTTATTGGTCGAACCGTTTTGCAAAGGCACGGAATGGGATAGTATCGCTCCCACAGGACATCATAACGCACATATTGGACTGGTATACTGTTGTATTCCGTGTTAAGGAAGAGAAGAAAGACTGGGTCGAGAAAACCAAATTCCTGCTCAATATCTGCCTCCTCTGCAAGGAGTAGGCGTCCGTAGCGCGAATGTGCCTTTACCGTAGGGAGATCTGTCTGGGTGAGTGCCGGGGACGATATATTTGCCTGGTGTATCTAATTCAGACCGTAGACTCTATACAGTCCATAAATATATTATTAATAGACTCGCCCTCCGGGCAGCCCTGGTACCTCAGTGTGTATTTTAAACTGTTCAGATTAATAAGTATCATGTTGGATACCATCAGTGTTCCTGCTAGTAACTTGTCACCCCTCTGGGCATACCTGGTCCTCCCAGCTGCATATGTGTTCTCATATATGCCTGCTTTTTTCGTTTTAATTTGGAACATAAACATCATTTGACCTCCAGGAGGCGAAACATACGTAGAAGTCCCTTTCCATAGGTGGACAATGACCCGGCTGAAGTGTAATTATCGGACCACAGGCCATAAAGTGTAAAACATCTGATGGAAATTTGAGATTCTGTAGCTCCCATCTCACGGTATAGAAAGACCGTAGGTCACTTTTGGCTCAAAACAACTGATATTACCCAATCTATCTCCCTCTGGGAGATGTAAGAAATGCAGTATCACACAATTGTAGTAAATAACACTGGATATAAACCATTCACTGTCCGTTCACATGCTGATTTGCTATACATTGTGTGGCACCAAGCGCCAACTGAGTAGTAAACTTCTAAAATGTGCTCTGATGGAGGTGGCGGAAAAAATCAGCAGCTGTGCCGACTTCCAAGACAGTCTGCAACAGTATGGTAGATAGCTTATGATGTGCCATAACATTTATTTGGGGCACGCAGAATACAAGTTTGCCCGAGATGACCAAAGATACTCAGATACAGGAAGCGAACACCGAGTTAAAAGTAAGTACTTTCTTTCTCCATTTCATATTAATTTCACAACCAATCGGGAAAACGGTGCGCAGAATTTGAAAATATATGGCACAGGCAGTACCTGGAGATTCATCTGTTATGCCGGCCAGAGTATATTTTGAGGGCCACATCGTGAGCGTGGGAGGCTGAGGTGAAGAGTATTGAGATGAAAGCGATGAATGGGGTAAGTTGGGGCGAAGTGTAGAGCTGTTTGCAATCGCGCTACTGATGAGAGGACTCGCGTTAGGGCAAACGGATGCCCTACACTGATAGTCTATTGAGCTTTTATATTAGATACATAGTATCTATAATATTCCGGGGGCTATGAGACTGAGTAAGA